GCCATGATCCCAGCACTGGAAATTCTTGGAAGGTTGTTGTGGCTTTGGTTTCGGTGTGGTAGTATTAAGCATCTCGGCTAGTTGGTTTGCGTCCTGTTGGTAGAAGTCCGCCATGAGGAGGGGATCAATGTCGCCGTATAGTTGGCCATGGTCCTGTGATTGTTCTGAGCTGTTGCGAGAAGGTTAGAAAATGCGCGGTGAGGGACGGGGTGGTGCTGGTTGACTCACTTCAAAGTCATGACCGGCAGGTCGGCGGCTCGGTCAAGGTTGAACACCAGACTCTCCTCACTCGAGATGCTCTCCAGCCCTTCCACGGATGAGCTCTCATCCCAAGCAAACTCGGGAACCATGTCGTCATAATGCAGGGTATCCATGAGGTCAGGGAAATCAGTCGGTTGACCGTAGGTGTGGAATGGGCTTGATAACGGTTCCATTGTGTCTTGCAAGTGTGTGTGTGTGTGTTTGCAGATCTGTATGAGTACATGGGTGGGAATGGCATGCTAACCACTCAATTTATATTCCAGCTGCATGCTTCGCTCCACCTACACGTGGGAGGTGTTAGGGCATTGGAGTTGCTGCGGGCAGAATGCACAAACCAATGCAGAATCCACTGAGGGGGTCATCATTGCCAACCAAGCGACGAAGCAAACCCCGCTCTTTAGGCTGAGTCCACCGATACCTACAAGGTGCAATCTCACCCCTCCCCTCCAAGCCTCATGGGGCATGTTTACACTCATACAGGTAAGGTTGTGAGAGAGAAAGGTGTAGAATGGAGGGAAAGTAATATCAGCTCGCCAGTGGTTCAGGGCTTCTAGACCGCGGAAGGATGCCGGACTGGCTGGCGGAGATAAAACCTACCTGATCACCAATCACACCCGCCCGATTAATCTCCCGGCCCGTTCCCTCTAAGTGCTCTTCCAGACACTGATAGTTAACTACCTTACTTTCCACTTACTTTTCACTTCCTTAACTCAAAACATCTGTTTGCTGGTAGTTATACATTAACATGCCTCCAGTCTTGTGTAGGAAGCATGGTCTTCTGCTGGAAATATCCGAGAACAATGGGGGCTTACCACGTTATGCAGTCACACCCCATTTCCTGCCACATAGGGTTGAGGATCCGACTGAGTCGGACTGACTGCCAGAATGCCTCCTAGCCAAAAATAGAAGGATCGTCCTTTTGGAAACCACCATGCAGTCTTCCTCGTATTTTCTTGGGCTATATTAGTCTATACTAAGATTCCCCCTTGGTCTGGTACCAAAACGGAAGCTTAAGTCTGAAGTTGAACATATCTTCACAGTGAAGTGGGGGGGGAGAAGACGAAGGTGGCCACTTAGGCGCTCCACTTCTATAACACCCACAAGCTATCGCCTTCCCAGCTGCAAAAGGTTGAAACTGAACTTGAAAGGACCCTGCCGGACAGGATGCACGGCCACCCAATCAGGGCCCACCAGTCGGAGGCTGTCACACGCTAAAATCGACCAATTTCTTACTTGCACACCTACTGGCAGGGCACACCACATTTCTAAATGCCTTAGTTCGCATCCTGACTCCCTGAGTGGTCATTATTAAGCCGAAAGGACCAAGTCAACTACCGACCATTCGGAGTTTCCTGTCCTTCTCACCTACATCGATCCTGGGGAATCATTAGACAGCCCAAGATGTTACATCTCCCAACGACTGCCAACCTTCGTGGAAATACGCCTTCTCCAATGATCGAACCCGCCGGACCCGCTCCAAGACTGGCAGGATGCAGTGGAGGCATTCAGCTGGGGCGTGGTTAGCAGCCTTAGTGTCTTAGTGTCTCCATCGCGGCTCATTGGGATTCTGATGCGCAATCCTGTCGAACTCTCTCACTTGCAATTCGCTCAAACACTGATAATTCGGCAATGTTTGCTATGCCGGATCGCACTCAGAATTTTCTTTCTGAACGAGACTCCTACCTGTTGACGAAATAAGCAGGCCAATTCTCACTGCCATGGCCACCCATCACGATCCCCGTCAGCCGCCGCACGCCGATTCCCATCATGCTGACTTACGCGATTCAATCACGAATGACGAGAATCGACTCCCACAACAACCAGTGGCAAGCTCCGCACGAGCCAAGCCAATGATCCCCTGGGTGTATGACCTGGGACTTCACGTTCTTAGTATTACGCTGGATGTCTTTTTTCGGGAGGTCTCGCCTCGCAACTCCTTCCGCGTCCCCAACAAGGGACCCGTCATCCTGGTGGCTGCGCCACACGCCAATCAATTCGTCGACTCGCTGGTCTTGATGCAGCTGATGAAGAAGCATGTTGACCGCCGGATCTCCTTCCTCATCGCGGAGAAATCACTGCACGAGCCCTACATTGGCACCATCGCGGGCGCCTTGGGGAATCTTCCCGTCACCCGCGCCATGGACCATGTCCGACCGGGCCAGGGGACCATCTACCTTCCCTCGCCCGAGAGGGATCCGACTCGCATCACTGGAGTTGACACTGACTTCACTGGGCCAGACTTCATGGTCGGAGGCAGCATCATCCTGCCCAAGATTGGCAAAGCCGTGCCAGAAAGCCAGTATATTGAGGAGATCGTAGGGCCGACTGAGCTCCGGCTTCGAGCCCCATTCCAGACTCCACACGCCGTGGCTCTGCTGACACCAGCGACGGGCAACGGAACGCAATTCAAAGTAGCCCCGCACATTGATCAGAAACGGATGTTTGCCTCTGTCTGGCAAGAGTTATCGCAGGGGGCGTGCATCGGCATCTTCCCGGAGGGCGGCAGCCATGACCGCTCGGACCTGCTGCCCTTGAAGGCGGGTGTAGCCATCATGGCCCTCGGAGCCCTATCTCGGGATCCAGACTGTGGCCTATCCATCATCCCTTGCGGCATGAACTACTTCCATGCCCATAAATTTCGATCGCGGGCGGTCATTGAGTTTGGCCACCCCATCGATGTTCATCCCGATCAGGTCAAGGCCTACGAAGCCGGGGGAGCACAGAAGCGCAATGCCATCGGCTCCCTGCTGGAGACGATCAACGATGGTCTCGCAGCGGTTACGCAGCCCAGTCCGGACCATGAGACCCTTCAATTGATCCAGGCCACTAGACGCCTGTATAAGCCGATCGGCAAGAAGCTTCCCTTGCCGTTGGTGGTGCAATGGAACCGGCGGCTACTCAAGGGGTACACGAGATACCGGGATGACCCGCGAGTGTTGCGACTCAAGAAGGCTGTCTTGGATTATAATGTCAAGCTTCGAGCGTTGGGCATCAAGGACCACCAGGTGGAATGGGGCAATATCACCGATCGCCCGTGGCTGGTGGCCTTCGCTACGTTACTGTACCGGCTCGCGGGCTTGCTCGTGTTGAGCGTCGGCACCCTTCCTGGGGTACTTTTGTTCTGGCCGGTATTCGTGACAACCAAGGTGATCTCAGCTAAAAAGAAACGGCAGGCATTGGCAGCATCAGTGGTGAAGGTCCGGGCCCAAGACGTCGTTGCAAGCTGGAAGATCCTGGTGGCGCTTGGGTTCGTCCCGGCGCTGTACACTTGGTACACATGCTTGGTCTCCTTCTGGTTACGCTACGAGCGCTCTGGTGGCTATTATTCTGATTTCCTACCCTGGTATGTGCAGGTACGGACCTGCATCCCCGATACTGTTCCTCTGTGGCAGTTTGCGATCGGGTTCTTTGTTCTCCTAGTCGGGGTCTCATTTGCAGCTCTCGAGATTGGAGACACGGGGATGGATATTTTGAAATCTTTGCCACCGTTGTTGGTCGCTTTAGACCCACGGTCATCAGGATCCCTGAGCCAACTTCGAGCGACCCGCAATGCTCTGGCGATTCAGGTACGCGAGGTAATTGATGATCTCGGAGAAGAAGCATTTCCCGGATTCGATGCCAGCAGCATCCACGGGGATACTCATCGTGAGGATGCTTACCTTTCTCAGCTCAAGCCGATCGCTAATCTCTGAATGGTACATTCTCTAAAACCGGTGCACCGCCTCTTGAATTCATTATATCCAATATTTCCAACACATTAACTCCAATTCTTTTTTTTTTTTTTTTTTTTTTTTTGGTTACACAAAGTCCCACCTCAGCACGATCGGCTAGAGATGGGCCTCAGGCCGCCCCACCCAGCATAGCCGCGTTTTACCTCTCCCTCTTTTTCCAAAATCCAAATTGTCAATCCTTTCAAATCCAATAAACTATGTTGGCAAGCTTTGTCCAAGCACTCTTGGGGGTTGAGACTTGCACCCCCACTCTCGATTTCGCGCGCTTGTTCTCGTCAAAATCCCCAAAATAGCCGGGCCCTGTCAACCCCAATTCCCCGTTTGAGGCTAGGATCCCTCGTTCGCGTGCGTGCTGGTGGAGCAATGCATGAGAGCCAGACTAGCGGGCTAGCGATACAGCCTAGGACCGGTGTCTGTCCAGCCATGTGCTTGTAGCCTTGAACCTTGCAGGGATGTTGTCCCAACACTTCCACAATCGCTGCTTAGTATCAATTCGCTGTCCCGGGCCTGAATCGCGCGGTGGAGCATGATTTTCCTTGTCCACGGGAATGTGGGTATGTCGCGGGTAGGATGAGGTTTCATCACTTTTCATTCAGTGCTCTGTGGTTGTAGAATCGATCGACCAGTGAGGAGCTTTCACGGTTTAGAGTCTTCACTGACGCTGTGGTGGTCGATCGTTCCAGCCGAAAAACAGTATGCTCTGCCCGTGTGGAGGGATCTTCGAGACTGGACGTTACTGCGAGACAATATATATACAGAGCGGGTATCGACCGTGCAGTACACTTCCCACACAGCACAGAATTATTCCTTCTCATTCCTGAAGATAACGATTTCCATCACGATACAATACAAAACCTATGAGAATATTTTCCCATCCCGCGAAGAAGTGATCATGCTACAAAGTACTAGGGTTACATCCTGTGTCAACAACGGTGGACCCCAGCTAACTACACGTAGGGGATGTTCGAGAAAAGGATCTAGTGCCTTGATGCAGCAATGCTAGCTCACTGGGCTACTAACCGATGGTTTAGAACATATTCACAATTCATGTAGGCAATTAGCAGCCATGTGGTTGTACTGTACTCCGTACAGTCCTCTGTATGTACATTTCTGCAATGAGACAAAGCAGATCGGGGAGATGCAATGCCGAAAGCCGAGCCAGTCGAGATGACTAACCCTAGTGAGGTCCGGATTCCGGCAATTACTCGGCCCGACTTGGCTCAAATGCCGACCGCGACGCCATTTCTATCAATTTCCCTGTCATGCCTGCTATATAGTTGCGAGATTGATGAGAGGTGTCTGAAAAGGTCCTGGTAATATTGGTTGGTTGCATGGAGTCACTCAAGATGGAAGTCGTCAAAGGCCGAGGACTGTACTGTACCATGACAGCGGAAATTCCCGCCAGGTCGAAGACTCCGCTAGTTGCTTTTTCCACAGACCGGAGACTTGAAAACACTACGTACCTCATCAGAGCCAGAAGAAAGTGCGTGAGGGATGCAGCCAGGGCCAAACTATTGTGCCTCAATTCCAAGCTTGGAGGTGGGGAGAGGAAGGAGGGCGAGGAATAGGGGATTGCAGGAATGCAGGAATATGGGCACAGGTCACGGGTGTGAGGGCGTGAGGGGGGAGACCATTTTCCTGGGCTTAGTAGGAACTGATGAGGGGTCATCAATCACGGATGGACTTCGCTGGATCTAACGAATTCTCTGATCAGTCTAGAAGAAATTGGCCCGTTGAGGTCAGCGCAGCTTAGTTTGTCGCACTGTCTGGTCAGGGACAAAAAATGGGTTGGGAGAACGCCAAGACCGATCCTGGCCCTACAACAACAACAACACCACCACAACATCTCATCTCTCTCTATCAATCTCCCCTCCCGCTCGGTGTCGCCACGCCCTGCGTAGCTTCCCACTCGGTGCCACAGTCCTATTTTCCATTGTATCGGTTCTTACTTCCTGTCAGTCTGACTTCCCCAATTTTGAGACTTTTCCGACCGTGGCAGTATGGAGACTTCCCAGTCTCAAGGGCCAGTCCCCGCGACCGACCCTGCCCAAAGTAAAGAGGCCCCGCCGATCAAGGAATGTCCAGCCTCCGAGGCAGACTCTAACATCAATCTGGTAAGCTATCTTGAGAGTCGGTCGTTGGTTTTAACACAAACACAAGCGTTAAACCCTACTCCTCGACCTGCTATTGACACCTCCAGGTGACCTGGGACGGCGAAGATGACCCCGACAACCCGAAGAACTGGTCGTTCAAGATACGATGGAGGATGACAGCCATCGCCTCGACCTTCGCCTTCATCTCGCCCATCTCCACCTCCATGACCGCTCCCGCCTTGGGGACTATCGCGAAAGACCTGCACATCCACCATGCCTTCGAGCAAACGATGAGCCTGTCGATCTTCCTCCTGGCCTACGCTTTCGGGCCCCTATTCTCCGCCCCGATGTCCGAGGTCTATGGGCGGCGCGTCATCTTGCAGGGGTTCAATCTGATCTATCTCGCCTTCAATACCGCGTGTGGATTTGCACAGACAGGGCCCCAGCTGATTGTCTGTCGCTTCTTTGCTGGGTTTGGTGGAAGGTGGGTGGCCTCATATCCGGCATTGGTTGGCCGCATCAATCCGTTCTCATTATCTGATGTGTTTACAGTGCGGCAAGTGTGATTGCTTCTGGCATTCTGGGTGACCTGTGGCGCAAAGAAGAACGAGGCCTGTCCGTCAGTATCTACACTATGGTCACTCTGTTGGGACCGACCCTGGGCCCTCTGCTAGGCGGATTTATCACTCAATACAGCTCCTGGCGCTGGACCTTCTGGAGCGTGAGCATCGCCGATGGCCTGTTTCAACTAATTGCCACCTTCTTCTTCCAAGAGACCTACGCTCCGGTGCTGCTGGGTCGCAAAGCAGCCCGACTACGCCAGGAGACAGGTAACACTTCCCTCCGCACCAAATGGGAAGAAGACGACCTGAGTCTGCGTAAGAAGTTGCAGGTGGCCTGCACTCGGCCGTATATCCTGCTGGCCACGCAGCCTATCTTCCAGGTGCTGACCCTGTACATCTCCTACCTCTTCGGGCTGGTCTACCTGGCGCTGGCGACCTTTGCCGAGCTCTGGACCACCGAGTACCACCAGTCGATCAGCACCGCCGGCTTGAACTATCTCGGGTTGGCCGTAGGGTACATCATTGGCACCCAATCTTGCGCCATGCTGATTGGCATCGTCTACCGTCGTTTGGTGGCGGGCAACAATGGCACCGCCCAGCCCGAGTTCCGCCTGCCGCTGCTGCTGCCAGGGGCCCTGATGGTCCCCGCCGGACTGCTATGGTATGGCTGGAGTGCGCAGCATCATCTGCATTGGATCATGCCGGATATTGGCATTGCGCTGTTTGCAATTGGGGTCAAGTATGGCACGCAGTGCACCCAGTTGTATGCCTTGGATGTGTATCCGACTTATGCTGCGTCGGCGAGTGCGGGAGCGCAGTCGTTGCGCTCGCTGGCGGGGTTCACTTTCCCGCTGTTTGCCCCGTATCTCTATGACAAGCTGCACTACGGTTGGGGGAATTCGGTGCTTGCGTTGGTCGGGTTTGTGATCGGGGTGCCTGCCCCGATTCTGTTGTGGATCTATGGGCCAGCGTTGCGGAGGAGAAGCCAGTATGCCACGGGGGTGTAGAGTGGAGTAACCCAATGAATAGATATACATCTCAATATATAAATACACTACAATACACGAGCTGATACCATATCCTACTAGACCTCTGTCGATGAGTCAACTTCTAATCTTATTCTTAAAGAGGAAAACCAGCAGTGGTACTATGAACTTCCGTAAAAATCGTCATCAATCCCCATGAAAGACTGGCAGTACTTCAACCCTCGCAGCCGCTGCGCCTCGATCTGCTCCCACGTCCACCCACTTCCCAGCTTACTCGAAGGTGTGAACTCGAACTTTGCATCGACGCCGCTCGCACTGGCCTTGTCCACCACAGCCACCGGCTTAGGAGGCACCTTCCCCCCAGCGGCGAGCAACCTTTCCACAGGCACCGTCAATCTCCCCTTCTTGACACAGTACTTGCTCATCCCCACCGCCGCGACTACGTGGCTCCCATCCTTGTTCCGCTTCCCCGTCTTCACAAAGTGCGTCAGCACGTAGATCCACTTCCGATCCCAGGCCACCACCTGCGACCGCATCTCGTACCGCTCAAACGGCTTGATCTCCTTCTTAAAACTGCAGTACACGCCGCCGAGAGCGATGAAGATCGGTGCCCGTTTCGGAGGCGGGCGCCCCGCTGCTGCGGCCTGGGCGGCGAGTTCGGCATCGATCTCCGCGCCGACTTTCTCGCGCCCGGGCCAGTAGAAGTAGGCCATGGGCGTGATGCGTGAGGCGTCGAGGTCGGCATAGTAGGTGCTGTTGGATTTGTGGAAGTTGTAATCCGTCTCGAGCAGGGAACAGTAGGAGGTGGTGGTGCCGACGGCGAAGATCGGGTGGGTTGGCTGGCCTTGCAGGTCGACGGGCGGGCTGGGGTTGCTGGGCGGGTGGGCGAGGTCGTGGAGACCGCGGATGAACCAGTAGACGAGACGAGCCTGGATGGGTTTGGGTCAGTGGAATGCTATATGGCCTGGATTGTGTTTGTAGACTCGAGTGTGGGCGTACCGTCCATGCGAAGGGGAGAGATTTCCAGTTCAGTACGGCAAATGCGACGAGGAAAACCTTGCTGGGTGCTAACGAGCCAATGAGCCCGGCTATTTCAGTGGCTATCATGGTCGCTATGTTGGCAAAATGCCGTGGTTTGCTGGAAATGGGTGTTCAGGGTGGTGGTCTTGCGGGCTGCAAGACTTGGAGGATATGTGATGGGACAAGATACAACCTGGGTTGAATATAGTCTGGCTTCAACATCGAAGGAGTGGAAAATAGAAAGCCGAGCGTTGGATTAGAAAAGGCCCCTGTGTCTACTTTCGTCCATCTTTGTCTCGTACGATTCTGTGACCGAGAGAAGGAATCAATTGGCCGTTCTTTGGTTGCAGGGAAAGGATTCGGGGATTGAAGGATTTGCGGATCAGAGGATCCATCTCGCCAGATGCCACCCCAAACAGCCTTGCAGCGGTTGACATGACAGATGAATCCTGCACGAAGTATCTCCCAGGAATGACGGATTGTGGGATGTTTTGCCTGTGAGATTGGGCCCGAGTCTTGTACATAACCTGCAACGCTCTCGAGTCCAACATTGGGCCCACGATCTGCACCGACAGGACTTACTGATTGACAGACGCCAATTCTCGTCTCCCAAACCTCAACATGGCGGTGCAAGAAAAAGAAGTCCTGGCCGAGAGGAAAGAGCCTCCAGCACAGCCACTGAATGAGATCCATTGGTTCAAACGCCTGGAGTGGTTCCGAATGTTCATCATCTGGGGCATCCCTCTACTCGGGTTCATTGGAGCCACGCAGGTTGCCTTACACAAAAAGACGGCTATCCTCATGATCGTCTACTATTTCATCAGTGGAATCAGTCTTTCAGCAGGTGTGCCAGGACTTCCATTCTCATTCACCCCGAGACCCTGCACAGCTAACCTACAGACAGGCTACCACCGGCTCTGGTCCCACCGCGCCTACACTGCGACAGCAGTCACGCGGTTCTTCCTCGCCTTCTTTGCAGCCTCCGTCGGCGAGGGCAATGCCTACACGTGGGCGCGCGACCATCGTGCCCACCACCGCTTCACGGATACTGATCAAGACCCGTACAGCGTGCACAAGGGCCTGTTCTATGCCCACTTTGGCTGGATCATCTTCACGCAGGACCGCAGCCTCACGGGGCGCACCGACGTGTCCGACCTCAAGAACGACAAGATCGTGATGTGGCAGCGGCGCAACTACATGTCGCTGTTTGTGCTCACCGCGTTCATCTTACCCACGGTCTTCGCGGGGTTGCTCTGGGGCGACTGGTGGGGTGGCCTGGTCTATGCAGGGGCCATCCGGATGTTCATTGTCCAACAGAGCACCTTCTTCATCAACTCCATCGCCCACAGCCTCGGGGATCAGACCTACTCCGACCGACACTCGCCGCGCGACAGCGTCATCACCTCCTTCCTGACCGGAGGCGAGGGCTACCACAACTACCACCACGAATTTCCCATGGACTACCGCAGCGGAGTGCGCTGGTACCACTACGACCCCCCGAAGTGGACGATCTACATCCTGTCCTTGTTCGGGATGACCTCCGATCTGAAGCAGTTCCCCGACAACGAGGTCAGCATGGGCGCGCATCAGCAGAAGATGAAGAAGTTGAATCGGGAGGGCAAGGGGATCAGCTGGGGGACTCCGGTGGATGACCTTCCACTGTTGACCTGGGCAGAGTATACCGAGAGAGCGAGCGGGGGTCACCATTTAATCTGTCTCAAGGGGGTTATCTATGATGTGGCTCCGTTCGTACATCAGCATCCGGGTGGCACCAAGATCATTCTTAGCTACGTGGGGAAAGACGCCACCGAGCAATTCTTTGGCGGAGTCTATGCCCACTCGAACGGAGCGGAGAACCTGCTCTGTGGAATGAGATACGCCCGGCTCGTGGAGGAGACAAAATAAGGAGGTGATTGGATCTAGTTATGTTGATGCCGTGCACGATTGGATGATCGATGTTTGCCCTGCTTAGAAAAGACCGCGCTGGGTGGAAAGAAACCATAGATATCACCGCAATAGGGTTCGAATGGAGGTAGTGAGGTGATGTAGCTGTCTGATGAACAGCAATGATCAAAATGATGTCAGTAAGATATTAGTGTGCCTTGGTTGTCATGCATTTGTGTATCCTTTCACAGAAATAGCCAATCCTTATATGCAATCAGAATTCACACCTTTTCATTTGCCTCTCGAGACCCTGGTACTGTGCCCTTGTTCTGCGGGCCGGGTTGCCCGCAATACCCGCATGGAAGTGTCTGCCCGTTGTGGGGCCATGCGCGATATTCTCTCCGAGTCTAGACGCTCGAGAACTTTCCGTGCTGCACCAACTTCCCTAACTAACTAGGTTATTCTGGATGACGCAAGGACCAAGTTCGTCTTAGAAAGGTTTATATATATGATCCCACGAGTTCAGATTGGAAGGCTATTCTATGTGTGACATCTCTCCCCCGGAAGCACGATCACAACCTCTGATTACCCGACATCTGCTCAATTTACGTGGAGCCAAGCATGGATTCTGCATTTGTGAGATCGGTAGCACAGGGTGCCCTGCTGAGTCCCGTAAGTCAGGTCAGTCACCTCCTAGTGAAGCCGACTAGCGGTCTTGCTGGGATGGCAGATTAACAATTCTTCTAGGGATCCGATATCAGCAGAAGTCTCGCGAGCACACCGTCTGGCACACATTCGCAAATATCCTGCTTGTCAGAGACAGTGTCACAACAGCCACGTATAAGCTCGGAATGTGCTCACAGCAAAGGATCTACAAACCTCGGCGGTGTGCCGAGCTGCAAATCATGCAACCGCCTAGGTTCGGAGCAGCGAAGCTCAAAATCTAGTCGAAAAACAGCTCCAGTATGAGGCCTCTTTTCTGTACCATGACACAGTCAAAGCTATACTGACAGTATCGCAGACCACTGCGTCACGACCGCGCAGCCCATCAACCCTCACTCCGCGCGAATTGGAGAAGAGCTTCCGGGCTTTATCCTGCCACCACCGGAAACTACAGCAGAAACACGCCGACTTGATGAAGGCACACCAAGAGAAAGACGAGGAGATTGCACGCCTGAATGCTAAGGTCTGTGCGTTGGAAAGCGAGCTCTACCTGACGCGACTCGCGTACAGCGATGATTTGGCCGTTGATCCCCTCCAGACCTCGTTGAATCAGTATGATATCCGGCCAACGAGGGAAGCAATCTCTTGCGATGTTGCGCTGAGTGCTCCAGAGCCATGCTGAGCCGCTGGACCTTCGAGGTGACCTTAAACCTTTGGTTGCATAGCCCACCTCAAACACGCATGGATGATGTTTGATTTGTGAACGTGCCAAGAGGCTGTGTGCCGCGGAGGGCTGTCGGTGCCTCGGCTATCGAGAGGGAGCGAAAGAGAATTCTACCGAGGAAGGCCGACCCAACACCGAGCAAATCCCGAATAGTCTCACACAGCAAGCAAGATAAGGTCCAAGTTCGGCCAGGTGATGGACCCCTGCGCTGCCTCGGAAAGGTGGTGGGTTTCGCGGACGGGCCTATGATAACCTATGAGCCCAAGAGTCCACACCTCCCATGATAGGGTCGTTCACGACCCAAATGAGGTGCAATTCACGAGGAAAGCTTGCGAAGAATATTAGTGGACGGTCGCATTCTTCGACAGGAAGGGCTGGGGATAGCTCCATAGGTCCATCCAACAATGTGGGAGGGAAGAAAGATGAATCGTTCAATCGCGGTTTATATACATAACAGCTTTGCGTCTATCCTTTCTTCTTGAATTACGTGTCACCTCCTCCGCTGGACCTACTGCACAAACAGCTCAAGCAGTTAAGGGCTTTTGTGCGGTCACCACCAGGAAATCGAAGATGGGGTGGACCGCTCCCTTTAAGGCCTCAGCCCGGACCCCAGCGTTCAGAGCATCGACATCTTCCTGTGTCCAGCCCAGCATATCGATGAAGAGCTGCGCGGTGAACCCCTCGACCCCCTCGATGAAATTGACCCGCATAAAGCTCCCACATTCCTTCAGCCGCGCATCCTTGGGCCACGGTCCAATAGGCAGTTTGAATTCGTGCTTCTGTACGTTGGTGAAGCCCGCCTCGCGGACCCAACCCTCAAAGGAGGGAGCCGGGTCCAGGGTCTGCCCGATCTTGTCCCCGGCCTCGATGAGCCCCTCCATCATCTTCACCATCCAGCTATCGGATTTTAAACTCCCATCCGCGGAACACAGCGTGTTGGCCGATTCCTGCAGCTCCAGCCAACCCCCAGGCACCAGATTATCATAGCACTGCTGGATCAGCCGGGGCCAGTCGCGGATGGACCCGGCCATGTAGCGACAGTGGATGTAGTCGTAAGGCTTGTTTCCCACCCACTCCTTCTCGACGTCGTCGACGACAAAATGCACGTTGGGCGGCACCCAGGCGGGCTGAATGGGGCTGAGGTCATTGCCCACGATCTCGGCGATGGCCGGGTTCTCGTCGCCCATCTGGATCGCCCACACGCCCGTGCCCGTGCCGATGTCGAGCATGCGTAGTCCACTGGGGTCGATGGGCGCCAGGTACAGACGTTGGCTCAGCAGTCGGTAAAAGACATGGTGGATCATGTCCAGCCGGTCCTGTTCGGGCTGATCGTTGGGGAATGGGTAGCTGCCCGATTGATAGGCGTGATACCGCCGTCCATGCCGGTATTCATACTTCAGCACAGTCGAGCTTAGCGAGGTGGTTGAGGAGGAAGATTCATTTCCTCCTCCAGCCCCCGGATGCTCCTCCTCCATGTCCACTTCGATGGGACTGGCAGTTGCACGATGAGCCATGGCGGTCAATGATTCCTGTATCGACTTTGCTTTTCTGAATCTTGTCTGAATTCTTTTGTTCCTTTCCATTGTATAACCGTTTATCCCCCCTTCCTTTATTATTGAGAAATTGAGGAGAGAGAGAGCCCACTTTGAGTGAAATGTTGGGTCAAGGAGTTTAGCATTATGCCATGAATCTTGCCACGTGCCTGGTGGAATGTGGAATCAATACGGACATCGGTCTTTTCCGGACCGATACTAGAGCATAGACCAATGTAGGATGCAGTTAGTAACTACTGTACTAAGTACTTTAGTACTCCTAGTCCAACTTTCGTGCTACGACTCCGTACTCCAGGCTAAGTCAATGCTGGTGGTGAGAAACTGCTGTCTTGGCAGTCTAGTTGCTAGTTTTTTGTTTAGTTTATTTAATGGTTCTGCTTGATCTTCGAATCTTGATATCTATTGTACTGTACTACACGTAGGTATTGTTTGCCACCGTATACTCACTATAGAACTCATCTTCTAGCAATAGCAGAAAGTAAGCGAGGCAACAACATTCCCAGGCCCAGACCAAAACCTACCAGCGATTATTCACTTTTCCACCCCCCACCGCCTTTGACCAACTGCAATTGCTCCCAGCGCTGAACATACCAATAACAGAACCCATACGAGACATCGAGGAGCAGGAACACCGCCAGACTCCACAGCACCAAGGGACTGTTCAGCCATGCAAATGACTCCGGCCAGTACCGCCACCGCAGCCCAGCGAAGACCACCGTGCAAGAGGATCCGAGGAAGCGAGAGAGCCTGAGCCTGTCAGTACGTCGCTGCCAGACCACATGAACAAATCGTGACGGGAATGGTGCTTACCACAGAGTATACGAGGCGCCGCGAACACTGCCCCGGCTGATCAACTGGCAGAGCGCACCAGCACTCAGCGCCAGCTGGCAGAAGACCGCCCCCCAGGAGTAGGCCAGGGACGGACTAATCTCGCGCGACAGGGCCAGGAATCCGGTCAGGAAGACGATAATGCCGATGAGGAAGATGAGCGGGAGGTTGCGCTGGACGAGCAGCGCATGGTCCCATTCGTTGGGGGCGTGTTTGATGGCGGCGTAGATGATGGCGAAGTTGACGGCCAGCCCCACGAGGAAGACTCCCTGTTCAAGGAGGCTTTTCGATGGGTAGATCAGCCCGAACACGGCTTCCCAGGCAATGTTGGCGCAGAGAGGTATGATTGCCATTGCATAGGTCTTGTCGCGGAAGGAGACGTGCACCATGCCGATGTAGTTGACTGTCCAGCCTAGCCCCATCCCGAGGACGAAGAGGTCCGCGATGGGCTTGACGGCGCGGTAGGCTTCCGGCGCTTTAGTCACATCGAAACCGTCCATGCTGAATATCTTAGGCGAGGGTGATATGCTTGTTTCCGCAACGCTTGGGTCTACTTCGCGTGGAAGAGCTGGGTCGGCGGTCATCAGCATTTAAATAAATTGACCCATCTTACAGTGCCATCTGCAGCAGACATCATGTGTAGCCTCTCTCAGAGATCAGGGATCAGGGATCTGGCGAATGACGTTATCCAGTTCTGACTTACAATGTGGCAGGATGCAGAAACGAGCTGAATCTATTGTCTCCTGAACCAAGCCAGTCAAAGTGGGCGTTCAATTGTCAGCTCCGGGGCATGTTGTGCAAGGTCCCTCGGAAACGCCCAAACAAACATGACTAAGATGACTATGATATCCCTCAGCTCGTGTTTGGGCTGGAAAAGCGAAGTGCAGTGACTTTGTCCGGGTGTACTGGTGTCACAAACCTCGTAAAGATGTTGTCCTACACGTCGTCAATCTGAGACCGCATGGAACGGCTGTAAGCTCACTGTGCAAATCACTGTAATAGAATCCCTTTTAATCTCTTGTGAGTGCGTGGTTATGGAAGTCGACGTATGTGGGAGTCGGCTTTGCTCTTTCCACCTATGCGACAACCTCCGAGCGCGAGTGGATCGAGATCGAGGAAGAAAGAAATTCGCATCAACAATGTGAAGCCGACATGGATCAGGTCAGTAAGCTAAGACACAACGCAGCCTGCTTTGGGTGCTGGGATTGTTTGATCTCTATAAGATTTCTGCCAACTACATTTATGTCGACACAGAGAACGTGTATGCTGTATGCTGTATCCCATCCGATATCTTTTATTTCTCCCCTCCCCCCAGGTTCATCGCGGCACTGACGCAGGCGAGGTGACTGAATGCTTGTGGCATGTTACCAATCTGCTCCCCGGATGAGGCTACCTCTTCCGAGAACATGCCCAGGTGGTTTGCAAATGACAGGATACTGTCGAACTGTGAGGTGGCCGTTCTCCGCAGCTGCTTGAAGAATTGATTGTGAGGCAGATACTCCTTAGACCGGGCAGCCTGGATGTACAGAGAGACCGGATTAGATGACGAGCGGAAGGCAGAAGCAAACATAAGGAAGGTGGTACGTACGCGCATCATCGCTTCGACAAGCCAGAAGGTCACCATCAGGAATGCACCTTCGTTCCCTCCAACCCCTATTGTGCATGTCAGTACCGCTCAGTGAGACCCGGACGCACTGCATGGATACACTCACCATCATCAATCTTTCCAGTGTCGTATCGCGATACCATGTTGGCTACACTCAATCCTCCCCGGGCCGGGGGCTCCATGATCTTCTGGATCGTGCTCAAGAGACGAGGGTCGTTTGGAGCGATGAAGAAGACGAGTGGAGCAATGAGCACCGCCGCATCCAATGCATCTCGGTTCTCGTAGCTCATGCAGAAGAATCCTTTTTCCGCGTTGTACCCCTTGGTCATGATCTCGTCGTACAAGTCGTCTCGCTCCTGCACCCACCGGGCGCGTGCGGGACAGGGTAAATTCGAGCGTTTCTCCGCCAGGCGAATGCCGCGGTCGAGCGCAACCCACAGCATAATCTTGGAATAAACAAAGTTCTGCGGAGGCCCGCGAACTTCCCAGATGGACTGATCGGGTTGATGGCGAACCTCAATCACGAAGTCGACCATGCGACGGATCGCAAGCCAGTGATCGTAGGAGATGTCGGCGGCATGCTTGTTGTACAGGTAGATGCTGTCCATCAGCTCCCCGTAAATGTCGAGCTGGATATGGGTGGCCGCCCCGTTGCCAATTCGGACTGGTCGGCTTCCACGATATCCCTCGAGATGATCAAGTTCCATCTCGGGGATCTCCCGTTCGCCGTGAATGGTGACCATGATGGGCAAGAACGGATCCCCGGGCCTGGCGCTCTGGGACAAGGGGGGGAAAATGCGATCGAAGATGAAGTTGATGTACGATTCCGCCTCCTCGGGGTAGCCGTTCTTCAAAAAGACGTAGACCGTGAAAGCCGCGTCGCGCACCCACGAGTAGCGATAGTCCCAATTGCGACTGCCCCCAATGTGCTCGGGGAGAGAAAACGTCGGTGCCGCCACGATTGCGCCGGTGGGTTTGTAGGTGAGTAGTTTGAGAACCAACAAGCTTCGTTCCACTTGTTCGCGGTAATGTCCACGGAAGGTGCATTTGCTGGTCCAGTCGGACCAGAAGTCGCCCGTCGTGCGCTCCAACCGTCTCAGCTCCGGGGCCAACACCAAGGCATTGGAAGTGATTGCCTCCTGATCATGCAGGAGGAGAGTGATCGACTGGCCTTCCCTTAAGGTGACTTTGCCGACCAAACCAGGACCCAGATGACCCGGTCGCTCCGTCAGTTGAAGTTCCGGCCTCAGTTGCGCGTCCGCGGCCAGTTCCCCAGCATCCACCAGCAGACTGACCTCGAGTCGCTGGGCCACGGACTGAAAGTGGGCCCGATGAACCCCATCTCCCCGCGACAACTGAGCGGTGTGAGAGTCCCGGGCATAGTTGAAGGCGGGAAAGAGCTCGATCTCAATGTCCATCTCGCCCCGCACACATTCCGCCTTGCGGATCAGACCGGAATGACACGCATGATGAGGTTGACCGGCGAGATTAGGCTGATTGCAATGACACCATTCGGGCAGCTCTTGACTTCCCAGGACGGGCGACTTGGGCTTGGTGATGGGGAAATAGTCGAGGATATTGATGACCCCCTCGTCGTGGATCCAACGGGTCTCGAGCATATTGGTGTAGGGGCGGTAGCGCTGCTTGCTTAAGGGGTTGTGCAGCCCACGACTGGGGGTAATGGAGAAGTGGCCGCCCTTGGCTTTGTCGAGAATGCGACAGAAGATGGAGGGCGAATCGAAGACCGGCCAGCACATGGAGTCAATGCTACCATTCTTGCTGACCAGGGCGCAGGTGTGCATGTCGCCCACCAGGCCATAATCCTCGAGGCCACAATATTCTTTGTCGCCTTCCATGACCGGGGGGGGG